TGTCATAAGTTTGTAGCACAATATCTAGAGCACTGTGTACTACTGAGTTCAATGCCTGTTATTGGTTATTCGCATGTTTATCCACATATTTAAATACAAATTGGTTGGATCGTTTATAAGAAACGATGCACGATATAGATCTAGTCGACATTTTTACATTGGTCAAACCGACACCTTATCTAAACATATCTTAACCTTCGTAACGACACCTCTCTAATGGTTCATTACAGATGCCCCAATTATATATCACCCCCCCCCCCCCCCCAATCAAACCTCTTCCGACCCTACTTGGAACCATGGACTTACCTTGCCCTAATAACTAACCCTACACGAAGAAAAGAACCAAGTACCCCTATCCCATTCTGAACGGTATATTTCCTATACTACAAAGGCAAGTTTACCATTATACGGGTCTATTACGTTAACTTTGATCTTTGTCAGTTAACGTTAGTGACGTCAGCGTAGTGGACATGTAACGTGAGTACAGTGTAGGAAGTTGATCAGTGTTGGCTAAAGAAATCCGTGAACTGGTAGTTCACGAACCGACTAGACGGTGGAGGGGGAAGGGGGGGGGGGGGGGGGTGAGAAGTCTTGGAATCAAATCACGTAGGCCAGCGTCATACGGCGACGTCAGCTGGTGGCTATTTGCGTCCACCCGTCGTCCGGCCATCTGTCCTGTCTAATTTATTACTTTCTGGATTTCTCGCGGTCAGCGAGCGGTTAGTGCCGTGTCGTCGTTCTGTTAATTGGACTAATCAATAGTCAATGGGCTGTGGGCACTCGGGTGTGTGTGTGTTGGAACTATTGGTGTGTAGATGTGGCCACTACTGGTGTGTAGATGTGGCCACTACTGGTGTGTAGATGTGGCCACTACTGGTGTGTAGATGTGGCCACTACTGGTGTGTAGATGTGGGCACTACTGGTGTGTAGATGTGGGCACTACTGGTGTGTAGATGTGGCCACTACTGGTGTGTAGATGTGGCCACTACTGGTGTGTAGATGTGGGAACTACTGGTGTGTTGATGTGGGCACTTCTGGTGTGTAGATGTGGCCACTACTGGTGTGTAGATGTGGGCACTACTGGTGTTTAGATGTGGGCACTAGTGGTGTGTAGATGTGGATATAACCGATGCCCTGAGGTGTAGTGTATAAATATAGGCACTACTATGTAGCAATACTCCCCTTCTTCTCCCCACCCCCCCCCCCACCCCCACCCCCCCCCCCCCCCCCCCACCCCTGCAGCGATGCCTGAAATACTATCACTGTGGACACGAGACCCCTGGACGTGACGAGCGTACAGCGAGTGGATAAATAAAATATGTCACGGCGTGCTCAGATGACGACTTTGATGTCGTATTTACGTCAAACTTCTAAACTGAGATTAAATGAACTTTAAATGAAACCTGACACCCCCACCCCTTCAACTCTTCACTAGGCGCACACGCTAGAGGGATTGGGGGGGGAGCAATTTTTTTTCTTGTAGAAAATTACTATAAGAAAAATATTTATTAAGTTTTCTATAACAGATATAAGAATCAATCTTTTATCTCTAGGTAGACCCAAGATGCACTCTATGTAGATCTAGGCTGTAAACGACTAGCACTTGTTAATTAATTTATTTTTAGGAAAAAAAAATACTTCGACGATCAAACGAAACGATTATTCAAATGTTTTCTTTACTCGTAATTCGATTATCAAATGTAACTTAAAAGTAGCTCCGCTTTGCCGCCACCTTACCCTAGCCCATCCGCCCCGTCCCCACCCCCATAACCGTAATATTTTTCTTTTATCTTTAACATCGAACTATAAACCAAGCATCCTTATGTCGTGCTAGGTTTATGTGATGTCGGGGGGGGGGGGGGGGGCTGTTCACAGGTCGCCCTCCTCCAAAAAAAAGGTGTACAAAAATCAAAATTTGAGCCCTCTGCTAATGCAATCACATCGATCCGTTGAGCTCTGGCGAGGGTTGTTCGAGGAGCTATAATGAGCTTAACAGGGTCAGAGTTCTATTTTTATAATGCGATGAGGAAAACAAACGGTTCGTGTCGGGTACTCGGGGGTACAAACCACCAACTGAAGTGTACCGGCGGGGGAGGGGGGGGGTGATTTAATGTGCCGGCAAGTATCTATTGCGGTGCTGATGTGGAGGGGGGGGGGGATGGAACTCTCAGATCGATCAGCCACCTGTTCTTCTGCTTCCCCCCCCCCCCCCCACCCCTTCCCACCCCCACTCTGCCGTATGTGTACCAAAGGTCAATAACTCCTCAAACACGCGGAGAGAGAGGGGGAGGGGGGAATTGGGCGACCTTCAGTTTAAGCTTTAATAGAAGGAAATAATCCGGCTCCTGTTCTTTTAGGTCTCCACAGTTCCATACTGTCCCCGGCTTCAAGGTTTTGTTGTAGCTGCTCTTTAGATTGACTGACATTCCATTATGTCGTTAGGATGTGTGCAATGGGCTACACTTTCTTACACTCTAACTCCGTCCCAGGGGTGGACTGGCTGTGTCCCGGAGGCCCGGGAAGTTGTAAAAAGGGGCCCCCAGCCCCAGATTGAAATTTTCAATGTGCAATTTTTTTTTCTATATCAAAGCCTGAATTTTAATCCTTGGTAGAATGAATGGCAAAATGAGTGGAGAAATTCTTGCGTGGGGGGGGGGGGGGGGGGGCACCGAGATTACCTTCGGGGGGGGCACCGAGATTACCTCCTGGGGGCCCACCAGGATTGCCACCTTGGGGCCCATGGGGATTTTCCCCTGTAGACGGGCCAGTCCATCCTAACCCACAAAATAACCCCAAAACATCACAACAAGTTTCCCCTAAGTCTGCTGTACCAGAATGCCATGTACACCCGCTGTGCTGTAAAATTTGTTGGTGGCTTCTCTCATGTGTTGGACAGAACCTTCTAGAAATGCGAGAATAGTTTCTTATTTCATACGTTAATTTTTAACAAGGCGGATCAGCTAACACAGCAGATATATTTTCTTTTATTCTATTACTGATGGCTCACAGCTAAATATATGTGTGTATGTAAGTGTATGAATATAATGTATGTATGTGTGTTTTATGTGTGGGTATTTCATTTATCGATCGTCTCAAACCCTCGCCAACTCTCGTATCTTGATACTATTTATTCTGAATTTGTTTTTCTTAATTTCTTTTTCTCCCCGGTCACGTATAAGTCTCTTGTCTGGGGGAGGCTACATTTCCCATCGTATTAGACGCCCCCCCTCCCACAGTCCATCCCCACCCTCACTTCAGGTCACCCCCCGCCCCCAGAGCCAACCGGCAGCACATAGTCTTCCTACGACGGCTCCGTGGGCCACATATTCCTGGGCTCTCATCTACATGTGGCCTTTTATTGTTCTGACCTCTAGGACGTCCGGATGGGGATTTGCCCGGCGCTTCTCGTGGAGCGTCTTGCGGGCTGTTTACACCCACAAGTAGAAAAGGAAATGACGAGGTTTTTATTTCTGAGCGAGGGTTGCGAGGGGGGTTTGTTGTTATTGCCACATCTGTGACGTGCGCTGCGAACGTTTGGAATCCCGTTGTCCAGGTATCACAGGTGAGCGCTCACGTTGTGCTCACCTGTACAATTCCCTGTTCTAACAGCACCAGACGATTGATTTCCTTTTTTTTTCATGCTCATTTTTTATTAAGATAATTGCCCTCGCTTTTTCTATAAGGCCTTTTTTCCACCTCATCTGTTTATTTCTAATTCCCCTCTCTTCTCCATTTCACTAGTTTTTTAACTCCTTCCTTTTCAAACTTCTCTCCTTTACTCACTTTCTGTTCACTTTCCTCCTTTGTATTCTGCCTACCTAATTCTCCTCATTCACTCTACCTTTTTTTTACTATTTGATTATCTCTCTTTGAATACGCTCTTTTTTTTTTATTTTACAGTATGAACAAAAAGTTTAATTTAACTAATGACCTTGTACAAAGAGACGCTAACCTTGACCTAATTCTAGAATTTGAAGTCAGATCTATCAGTCTAAAAAAGAAAACTCTGCCAAAACTTTTTATGCCAGATTTCTGCAGCTTTGTATTTTTCTTTTTTACCCTCCTTGCCTGTTTAGCATTGTACTTAAAATAGTTTTTTTTTCTTAGGGTTTTCCCAGTTAGACATCTTCCTGTCTTCACAGAAGCTGTAGTATTAATGTACTTTACTGCAAACAAAACTATTCGTTTACAATGTCACGTGATATATAACTGAAGGATTTGATTTAAAGACAAACCCTTATCATCAATGTCCAGTCACTACGGTGTCCAGTATCTCAACAAAAACCTGACATTTCAGGCGTATAATGCTGTCTAAAGTACATCATAAAGTTAACAATTGTGCGTCCGATTACTGAGATATCTTTTTGGGTTTGACTTAGCGTCCGTTCCATTGATGCAATTTTTAATTGAAATTTTAAATGACGTGTAAAAATAACGACCGGGACCGACAGTTTTAACCATCTTTATTTTACGTCGGTGGATTAATTAATGGCTCGTACGTCAGAACATTAGAGCCATCACGTGTTCTTACTTGTCTGCTCACTTTCCTTTTTATCTGCACAAGAAAATATCGCCGATTAATTAAATCATGAATGCCTCATTGGGTTTCAAATACTACGTAGATCGCATTTCGTTTTTTTTTTCTTTATTAGATTTAAAAGCTCTACAGATTTGAATTATTTAAAAAAAACAACTGACAAATGAGTATGTCATCATGACATTACCTTTATGTCCTTATGGGACTCGTCTGGACACTCGCTCCCTCCGGACTATGTTTCCGGCTTCCGGCTGCGAACCGGAAGTGTGTTTAGTGTTATCGGTTTTTCTGGGCGTTTTGTCAAGCGGTTCCATGTCAAGCCAGGCCTGTGACTTTTCCAAACACGTTCACGCTGATATCACCGTTTTACCACCACAATCAATAACTGGAATATTTCTTTCCCTGACATGTTGACAAAAACATAAAATTTAATAACCTTGACCTTTTTTCTTTTTCGTTCCAGACCAAAGCGGCGCCGACTCTGGATTCTCCAGCTCTCAGAGTTTACCGCAGTACACGCCCTCGTCTCCAGCCGGACCTCAGCAGGTACGTCATCACAGTGTGTTGGGGTGTCCGAGTGACGTAGTTGGTGGGTGTCAGCGTGTGCCGTGACGTAGCTATCTTGGTGACGTAGGCTCCGTGCCTCAGTGACGTACATGCGCACTAGATTCTCGTATATTTTCACGTGTATGTTGGGTGTGTTAAAGTTTGTATCATGTGCACAGCGTGTGTAATGGTTTTTGTAAAGAAGTTTACGAATTTTTTCTCAGTATCTAAATGTTCGACGAATGCGCAATTGTATCGCATACGCAACTCGTGTAAAATTTCACTTGCATATTCCTATTTCATGTCGAACGCCGAACACCATATATACAATTTTTATCGCCCCTGTTTCGTCTATTTCTCTACAACTGGGAGAAAACCCAGGCGTTTTAATGGGCAGCAAGAGATACGGAGTCTGTAAATGTTTTAAACATATTTCCTGCGGGTCCCCCCTCGGTGCCAGTTGGTGCACATCCGACTGAAACGGAGGTGTAAATGACGCGTCTTTCAGCAGACGGCGGGATGTTAAATAAAGCACGTGCTGAGCCGTGAGCCCGGCTGTAGCTGGGGGAACCGGCTATTTATACAACCTTTCTGGGGCGTACCTGTCAAAGTCTCTGCATGAAATATTGCTGTTTTATTTTTATTGTGTTTTTTTTGTTGCAACACGCCTACGGCTTCCCAACAGCCGTGTCAATGCTTTATATTTTAAACTTGCACTGGGAAGTATTCGAATGATTAGGTTCAGGTAGAATGGCTATTCTTGTCACTTTTTTTTTTAATTTTTTTTTTTTTACATTTGGCAAAAGTGTCCTTTTAATAAATGAATTCAGAGTAGCATTCCCTACTTTATCCACTGTCTAAACCTACTACGTCATTGAACTTACTACGTCATAAGTTGACAGGAAGTTGCCAGTAACACTTACGTCACTGGCCAATCACAAAAGTTTCGCTGTGTGAGGCTAGTGCGTCATATTGTTGACATTCTGCATGCAGCGTTTGACCAATCAAAGCGACATAAAGAATGGTTGCAGTTTAACTGCCTTTGTGGTTTAACACCTGCGAACGGAGAGCGGCTTTACACCTATTGGGAAGTTGACGCTTGACGGCAGTTAACGCCTGATACATTAAACATAAAAGACTCGCGTGTAACACTCTATCGCGGGTTAGTGTCCAAGGGGTGGTTGATAACTTTTGCTTTGTGTCGTCACCACCCTAGTTCGATGGGTTATTAGAGGTTGATACACCCCCCCCCCCCAACTTGATGTTGTTGATACACCCCCCCCCCCCCCAACTTGATGTTGATAGCTTTCCTGAGGTTGATACCTCACCAGTTAGAGGTTGATACCTCACCAGTTAGAGGTTGATACCTTACTAGTTAGAGGTTGATACCTCACCAGGTAAACGTTGATACCTCACCAATTAGAGGTTGACACCTCCTCCCCCTCAGATACTTGATGTTGATAGCACACCAGAAGTTGATACCTCATACCTGACCAATTAGAAAGTCGATAGCACACAAATCTGAGGTTAATGCCACTCTAATGCGGCGAATGAAGCACCACCATTTAATGATTGATAACTTCCCCACATTCTAGCTCGGTGTTCCTATTTTAGAATGTGTTGAACTAGATATTGAACACTCCGTATCGATCTCATCTACCTGCTGAAGATACTAAACCAGGTGAAAACTACACCTGACTGTCTGGTTTAATAAATCATTGATATCAGTGTTACCTATCCTTAAGGCTGTGCACCTTTTAAATATGAAAGTCTAACTATGTTCTTCAATGTGTTTGGAGTCTTTTAAACACCTGTAATGTTTAACCTGTTTTCTCCGTGTAAAAGATTTGATTATTGTCGTGTCGTTGTAAGTGGATTCAGCTGCTTGTTATAACTTCACGTTTCCGACCTTTATAGGTCATTTATTAGTAGGTCGCTTACCAATATTTAATAGGTCACTGCCTAATATAGCTTGGTAAGATTTTACGTTTAAATCAATACTTTATTGTCTTCAGATGTACTTAAATATCCGAGATTAGGTTAACGGCTGTCCTAGTTAATATTCTCTGTTGTATTTCTAATTCTGGGTCTTGCATTAAAAGAAAGTCTTTTTATTTATTTTTAAATAAAGAAATTAAAAACAACAGAATGCAATGTTTTTTTCTTTCCACGGGAAATAACCCCGTCCCTTTTAAAACATTATCTCCCTTGTCTCATGACGTCACTCTTTGAATTCCCTAAACTGCACACATCATCAAGTATTCCGTGGACATTTTAAAAAGAGCCCTTAGGCTGTGTGATTATTTATTCTGTTAATGTGCTCGTCTTTAACTTCTTTTATCCCTGACTAGAAAGGACGGGGGTGTCGAGGCGTCGGGTTTACGACGGAGGGAGGGCGTTGAGGGTGTCGTTAAACTGTTTTATTGTTCTTATTTGTTAATCTAGACCCGTGGATGCTCCTCGTTCTGTGTTGAGGCCGATCGATAAATAATAAAAGAAAATGGCGGATGTACCTCCTGGGGAGGGGATCTTTATTTTCTAGTGTTGTGGCAGTTTATCAATTAAGAAATGATGAAGCCGTTGTTTAACGCGTCATCTGTGTTTGTGTGCTTGGCGTTCGAACGGGTTCCGGTTTGTTTAATGTAAGTGTTAACCTATTGGCGAAAGAATTTTGTTACTTTTTTAGTTTTTTGTTTATTTTTGTGTGAAAATTATTGCTGTTGACAAAATCCTCAAGTTGCCAATGTTGTGAGTGCTTTCTTCTTCCCCCCCCCCCCCCTCAACCCCATGTGAGAAAAGCACTTCTTTCCACGTGACACGCCCCGCCCACACCCTCCCACCTGTATAACAAGATCCGCCCCATCAACATTTAACGAGGTAAGCTCATCAACGAGCAGTAATTACTCCGCCCCATTAGTGCTAACAAACGTTATGATTGGTACTCATGTCGTGGTGTGACGTCGCTAGTCACGCATCTCGCAGTGAGCTGCCGGTCGAGGGCTTTATTTGACGGTGTGATCCAGTCTATTCAACTCATGCGTGTCCCGCAGTCAATAGGGCTAATTAGCCTCTCATTGGTAGGTCGGCGGCCATACAAAGTACCTTTATAAAACCTAATTACCCATGTAGTCTTTTTTGGAGTTAGAGTTATCTATTCTTGGCTTGATGCGATACGACAATGGCAGATGTACATTACATTTTACTTTACAGAACTTTATGTTTGTTGATATGCTCTAGGAAAGCCTTGCTAATCGTCATTGCTTTCACCATTACGCATTTCTGAGTCTTAGCATAGTAATAGTTTACTGCTACTTTTGATACATCCAGATGGATATAAGTAGTGCCGTGTGATAGAATGATTATAGTCATTGTGATGACGTTGATTGCAGGTGTAGGGTGGACAACGCACGTGACCAACGATGGCAGGCTCTTTGTGTCCTTGTATGATTACTACACCACCACAGTAGTGGTAACAGTGTTTGCTTTAACAAATCTGAGCATTTGGCCTAAATGGTAGCTGCCTACGGATGTGGTGGCTGCCTACGGATGTGGTGGATGCCTACGAATGTGGTGCTTGCTTACGGATGTGGTGCCTGCCTACGAATATGGTGGTTGTCTACGAATGTGGTGCCTGCCCACGAATGTGGTAGCTGCCTACAACTGTGGTGCCTGTCTACGAATGTGGTGGCTGCCTACGAATGTGGTGGATGCCTACGAATATGGTGGTTGTCTACGAATGTGGTGCCTGCCCACGAATGTGGTAGCTGCCTACAACTGTGGCGCCTGTCCACGAATGTGGTGGCTGCCTACGAATGTTGTGGATGCCTACAAATGTGGTGCCTGTCTACGAATGTGGTGGATGCTTACAAATGTGGTGGATGCCTACAAATGTGGTGGATGCCTACGAATATGGTGGTTGTCTACGAATGTGGTGGATGCTTACAAATGTGGTGGATGCCTACAAATGTGGTGGATGCCTACGTATGTGGTGGATGCCTACGGACTAAGTAACTGGCCACAGGTTGAGTATCTGGCCTTGACTAGCACCTATTAATAGACTACGTACCTCTACCTCTGTCAACTTTGGGCCGGCAAACAAATTGTTTCGATGCGTGCTCACTCGTGGCTAAGTCGGTAGCGCCTCGGCGCTAATCCCTCGCCGGTCTGGGTTTGAGCGCGTGTGCCAGGGGCCAACCTCAGGTTCTGTTGTGTCAGGTACGACACGAGTTTAGTCACGTGACGAAAGCGGGCTGAGGTTGTCAGCAAAGAGTTACATCCCTTCTATATAGACGCCATTTTAAATAAAATAACTTTTACCCCTGAACACATATCGTTGCGGCAGAGAAATAAGAGATTGTTTTGTTAACTTTTTTTTTAACTTTTGTTTTTGTATCCTCCGACACAGGGAGGTATGTCGACGAGCGAGTTAGCAGGGATGCGTGTCTCGCAGTCAAGCGTGTGCACATTTGATACGTGCATGTAACGAGCTTTGTCGATGGCTAGATAAACACGAGTGTTTTTTGTATGGGTTTAAACCAGTGTGTTGGGCTTTATCCTATGTGTGTGTGAACTTACTAAACATGTTGCGTTATGGATGTGTTTGATTTATTGGCCTTTTGTGTTATAGAATATCTAAATGTTTTGTTTTTTTTTAAATATCATACTAAACACGTATAAGGCTAGTTACCCTTTAGGACCGGACGGTCAATAGGGCAGGTGAAGTAGAGCTCGCCTGTTTCTGTTTTTCTCGGCATATGAGGGGATGATGTTATCAGTTCTACACCCTGCCATCTTTACTTTCCCACCTTAGGAGTTGAGTACCCGTGAGAGCTGGGTTGGCTCAGGGATATCCTACAACCTCCAGTCCGATAATTTAACTCGAAACTTTTTGGTTAGCATATGTCAATGTACACACACGTACTAGTACATAAACTAGAACGTATACTGTTGTACAACATAAACATATAATATTAGTTTATTTTCTTGTAACAACTGGAACA